ATTTATTTTCGCAATGAATTTTAGCATAAATTAATATATTTATAAATTGAAGGTTTTTTGTGTTGTAAATAAATAGTGATTTCAAAACATGAATGCAATGATTGCTCAATTAGTGACATAACATGTACTGCAGTACTACTACTCGTATTGCTATTCAATATCCAGTCTCTTATCAATTCCTGTCTAACACTTCACTAATGTATCAAATCCTGTCTCACAATAACTATCCATATCTTATACATTGTAGTTATTTTGAAGTTTAGGTCTAATTTTTACTATACTTTAGATTCAATATACCGTATAAATATGAATAATGAATGGATTGACAGTCAATTAAAAGATTTATTTGAAATTTGAAAACATTATAAAGAATACAATTTTAAGACTAAATAAAAAATTTTATTGAATTGCTTTTGAAATTGTTATAATACATGGAAATTGTTTGAATTGATGTGAAATGGATTCTTGAGTATCACTTGTAATGTGTTTATGAGGCGTTGGGTTCTGGGGGCTTGATTTCTGCAGTTCCCATCCAGTGCTTGTAAATGGTATACCCTATGACCCCAATGCAGCACAGGTACCCGATTTTGTTGATGGTGTCCCGGCTCACATACTTCAGTACCAGTCTATCATCTGAATCTGTTGCCATCTCTTTGACTTATCTCTCGATTTTGAATTTGTTTTTCAAATCAATTTGAACTCAAACTAAACTAAACTAACGAATATTCTGTGACTCAATTTGTTAGACCCTCTTGTTATGGATATCTAAAATAAGTCTCGTTTTAACAATAGTTTACTATTTATTGCATATTATTCTCTAAGCAATTGTTTTATTTGTATTGAGTGTAATGAAATTATTACACCGCAAATGATTTTACTAAGACTTTAGTGTTTTGAATATCAGTGAAAAGGAGTTTTAAAAAATATATAATTTATGATAAAAGCCGAACGTTTTCGGTATACATTGAGACCATCATCAGGGCTTAAGATGTTAAGAGAGATAATAGAAATGATTGTCGTTTTAACTAATGTTTGAAATTATTTTACTATTCGAGTTAGTTAGTCGACAAACAATGGCATTTTACAATATAAAATTTACATAACTAACTTGTTTGATACAGTACCAACAACTTATAAGGTTTTAGAAATATAACTAATTTTCTTAATCTAAAAATTAAATCATATTTAAATTTATTTTTTAGTGAGTGATCTCCAAAAACTTGTCAAACAATTGGGCTCTCAAGAGGATAACCAATTATTTCGCACACAATTGTAAATGAATTTAAATGTTTATTGTAATATTGTTTAATATAATAATTTAATCCCAATTGAAAGGCAAACACTTCAACACCAAACCAATGAATTAGCGAAACAATGCAATAATGATTTGAAACAACTTACAGTTCAAAGTAACACATCATATCCTACTCAAGCGGTACTAATCAATACATTTTAACACATATTTAGTGATATTAATGTTAATTTATAATTAACTTCACAGAAGGAAAACAAAGTGATCTTGGAGAAAATTAGAAGCGATTTTATAGGTATTCTCAATAGATTTCAAGAAATTCAAAGAATCGCTGCGCAAAGAGTCCAAGAATTTGCTGTCAAACCAAATAAACATGAGATCAATACTAATAACGTATGGATTCTTATAATCCATTGTAAAAAAAGCTTATAATTTGACTGATTTTTATTTGTAAAGACTTATGCGAACGATGAGTTCAACTTCGAGACGACAACCCTTTCGTTCAAAGAGGAAACCATTGGTCAGACACGGACTCAGACACAGATGGATGACTTGGCCGACGAGAGGAATCGCCTCGAGTCGGCTCAACAACAACACGAAGCCGTCCGACGACTCGAGTCCGACATTCTGGACGTGAATAAGATCTTCCAAGACTTGGCCCAAATGGTGCACCAGCAGCAAGACCTGGTCGACCACATCGAGGCCAATGTGATCACTGCCGAGGTTGAGGTCGAGACCGGTAACCGTGAGCTTAGGACTGCCGCTGAATATCAGGTGAATTATTTGTGAACATTATTTGAATACCTGTTTATGATTATAGTGTTTGATTAATAATTGTTTTGTTTTCGTTTGTCATTTCAGATGAAGGCCAGGAAAAAGAAATTATGTATTGTTATTGTTTTAGTCGCTATTCTCATCGTATTAACTCTAATCATTTATTTCTCAGTTAATCATAAATAAATGTTTTCTAGTTGTGTTTAAGTTCAATTATTACTACAAACTCACTGTAATATGTATTTGTCTACAATATTTTTATGTTTTATATGAAATCAAAATCATGTTTTATTCTCTAATGTAATAAAGTCAATATGAACAACAGTTTGAATGAATTATACAACTTTTAATTAAAATAAGTTGTATTACAATAGATTCGATAAAATTATAATCTACAATTTATAAGTGGTTAAAAACATTATTTGAATGCTAATAGTAAAATAAATTATTACCGGAGTACAATACAGATAGTTTACCTTTTAGGTATGCCCTAAATTTATTATACTATGAATGTCACAGAACCTAGAGTACAATAACTAACAAATTAGAGAATTTAATTGCTTTAACTAGTTATTTAAAAAATTATTAAGCATTAAAATCTAATGAATAAAATTTATAATGCCCTAAATTATAATATTGGTTTTTAACCATTATGTTTTACCAATTGTGTAAATTATTTTGACATTAAATGAGTATTATTAAAACTAATTATTATTTTTCTAAATGAAATCTAAATCTCTTGAGTTTATTGTACTCAACAATTGCGAAAATATGTTTCTATTTTTAGTAGTCTTGAATCTTGATATAAAAGTAATATTAAAAGTAATATTAAAAGTAATTATTAATAATAACATTAATTTGCCACTAATTTATTTTTAATTTGCAAATAATGATCTTCAAAACAATTTGTTATTTTGTAACTTTTTTTGCGAAATTTAACATAAATTCTGTAGTTATAAAGATTTCATTATGTACTGTATAACTTATTATTATGAAATTCAAATTATATTTTACCTAAAAGCAATTGAATTTTTTGTGTTATTTGTATTTAGCATATAAGTAAAATATTTTCAGACTCAAAATAACTTTGAGTCATAAAAGTAAAAATTAAAAGTTCCCTGGTTGATAAAAGATATTTACTGTATTGTAATTATCTGTAACCTGACAACATTTTCATACCATACTTTTTGAACTTTTTTTGATTCAACAAATTATTGTAGTAAAGTACTAATCTATCCATTGAAAATTGGACAAATTATTTTTTTAAATATGTCAAATTAAATGCTGTTACATATTTGAATTAATGATTTAGTGAGACAGTGATGTCAGTAATTCCCAAATCAGCAAACAGTGAGTGCATCGATGGCTCACTACTTAATGATGAGAGACCACAAACATTTGGATATGAGTTCCAACCCAAAGGAAACATTACTTTCACATATCGTGGAGCGGTATATCAAAATTAGTGACAATTTTTGTTAATATGAATTTTTATAAAAGCAATTTTATACAAACAATTGTTGTATTTAATAGCTTAAGGATTCATTTATGGCTCATCTATGCTCTCCATTCCTATTTATTATCAAAGAGTTGGTCAGAAGGACTCAGTATTTGTGAGTATTTCTTATGAAATGCAATCAACAACTCAAACATTTACAACATTTCAGAGCGATTCCCAAATTTGCAGAAACAGACACTTTGTCACTAATTAATGGGGAACATCTTGGTCCTTATACTGCATTATTATATAACAACGTAAATCATTTTTCCTTTTGTACATTAATAAGTTATTATTAATTTAACAATAAAAATGTTGAAAACTCATTATAGGAGAGCCAACTCTTTTTGACCGACAATTCGCCGGTAACTGAAATAATGGCATCATTTACACGGATGAGTCCACAACTGAAAGTAGAGTCTGTCATCTCAATCATTGGTGCCGTATATCCCTACACCACAATTGACTCATACTTCAGTGCCATTTATATATTTGATCCATACGTTTGTCATAATTCTTATTTCATACTTAATTTCAAATACAGTATATTAAGACATTTCATAAATATGAATTTCTTATTTCACAGATTTGGCTAAATATGTGTATTTCATGTATAATGTTATCATTAGCTTTATTATTAAAAACAAAACTTGTATTTGGATCCGCCTTATCAATTAAAAATTATTACCAAATCAGTTGGAGATTATTTGAAACTTCATTTTTAGGAAGTAATTTATTATTTTGATTGCATAATTCATTTATGAATCATATATACGATTTTTATTTCAATGCTTATTTAATTGACTTTTACAGCAAGAATTACAAAATCAGAAAAGACAAGAAATATGTCATTGAATGTCATCAATGTTTTATCAAACTTCCTATTAATCATATCGTTTTCATCAGCAATACTGTCCACAATAATCAACACTCCATTCACTTTAATCGATTCAATCGATGACTTAATCGCCAGAAAAGATTTAATACCATTAGTTCATTACTCCTATGAAAGTCTGGGTTTAATTCAAGTATGCATTTTAAATATAACTGTTTTCTTATGAGTATAGTATTGTATTATATTACAGAAATCAGGAACAAAACTTGAAAATGAGTTAATTAACAAAGGCTTTACTAATACGGATGAAGAACTGGTTACGGATGAGATTAAACTATTAACAAGCAAGAAAGATGTTTATAATAAAATAATCAAATTGAAAACTCATGTAATTATATCATTGTACGGTCACTCAAAACTAATTGAGACATCAATTATTGGACACAAATTATCACACATTAGTTCACATCAAAGACTTTTCCAACTAATGGGATGTATTTACAGCAAATATCTCAATTCATATGTCTCTCAAATATATAATAAATTGTATGGACTTATTTTGATATTAAAAATTGTTTAAAATTTTAGATTTCTAATAATCTTTAATTTAACCATAGATTATACGACGTGATTGAGACGGGTATTCACGATAGGTTTGTGACGACTATAATGGAAAGGGCGGCCGATTTTTTCAAGAATTCAGATCAAGAGACTGACGACCAAACAGACCATGATTTTGAAGAATATTTAGTTAAATTAAAACCAGCGCTCGGACCCTATATTATGGGAGTTATACTATCGGTAATTAGTTTTGTGCTTGAAATAATGTATCTAGTAATTTACTTTTACAGAAATATAATAATTTCGTACTTATCATGCTATTAGTACTATTTTGTTTAATGCATTTATCGATATACACTTATTATTGCATATGGCATATTACAATCTAAATTAAAATAATTATATAAAATTAAATTGATTAACGATTATTTATTATATTTGCTAATGTTATGATAAAAATAAATGATAACATGTGTTACAATTATTTTGACAATTATTATTTATAATTTGTTTCTATTATTTCCAAATAGTTAATTAATGTCGTCAAACTTATATAATTTTTATTAGATATAATTACCATTGATCTTGATTTATTGATAATTTTAGTTTTTAAAAGATTACTCAATAAGTTAGTATAACAATAATTTTAGAGATATTTAATTTACTATACTCAGTTTAATTGAAATAATATATAGTATAAAATATATTTTTAAAAACTAAATTATAAACAAATTTACAAAACAAAATTAAATTGTATACTAAAGTGAATAAATGTTCCCGGTAACTGCAAATTGTGAGTGTTCCTACGATATAAACAAGGACGAAAAGCCTGAATCATTTGGCTATGAATTTGAATCCAAAGGAAATTTTAGTTTTACATACAATGGAGCGGTATTTGAATATTAAATTACTTTTTTACTTACTAATAACAAATTTATTTATTTTGCACTATAAACTATAATATAGAACTTATTAGAATTGTTTTGTTATGAAGTTTATGCAAAGTTATATTATTTAATCAAAATATAATATTGCATATTAATTTTATAGATTCTAATCAATATTTTGATTAATTAGGAATATCAAATTTTCCGTATTACCTTTTCAGTGCTATTTATTATTACAAAAAATATTAATTTTATAGTAAAGTACACAATTTTTAATCAAAAAGACAACTATAATAAGATATTGAGATTTAATTATATTCGTATGTAAATATCATATGATTAAATCATTCACAAACAGGCGTTAGAGATTTTAAATACAAATTCATTCATGTGTTATTCTCCATAAGTTTATATGAAAGTATAACTAATATTACTAATAAATTGACCAAGCTCTAACGCATGTCTGTGAATGAATGATTCATATGATTTTATTAAAAGCATTGCATAAAAATATGGGAATATTTTAGAAATACAAAAGTTCATTTTTATTGAAGTTCAAGTTGTGATTTAAATTAACAAAATAATCTAATATAAATGTTTTGTAAATAAATGGATTGCTAGATAACAGATTTTAAAACAATAAGTTAAATACAATCAAAAATACAAAGATTATTTTAATCAACATATTTATAAGGTAGAATAAAATATCAAATAATAAATTATGTATTTTATTCAAAATAAAATTTAAATAATACAGAGTGCGATAAAGGTGTACGCTATGGATAGTGAATTAAAGTTCCCGGTAACTGCAAATTGTGAGTGTTCCTACAATATAAACAAGGTTGAAAAGCCTGAATCATTTGGCTATGAATTTGAAACCAAAGGAAATTTTAGTTTTACATACAATGGAGCAGTACTTCTATTTTATTAAATTGATTGTATTTTTAAATCATACATCAGTGGTATTTTGTGGTGTAATTTTATATTATTATAGTAATAATTTGCTGTAGTCAGATTTTATTTAATCAAACAATAGCTAACGATAACTAAAATTAAGAGGTTTTTATAACATTCAGAAATAATTTACTTATTTCACATCCTCAAATCCTATTCTAAGAATGAGCTCGCTAAAATATCCAACTAATTATTGAGTTATAACATATAAGCTAAAATAAAATAATTTATTAATTCAAACTAATTAACCAAACTATACAAACAGACCAAGAGTGCAATGATGGCACCGTTATGTTCACCATATTATTTTGTGGTCAAAGAATTGGTTCGCAGAACACGTTACTTGTAAGTTATTATAACTGTCACTAAAATTATTATTTAATTATCATTAAAAATTAAACACAATATTATATATTAATAATTTTAATATTTAGTGCGATTCCCAAGTTTGTCGATCCGGAAAGTAGAGTCAAAATTAACGGTGAAGTGATTGGACCATATTATTCAGCTATTTTTAATAACGTAATATAAGCATTATATAATATTTGCCATGATCAATAATGAGAATATTTATTTGTTAGGAGACTGATATGGTGTTCCTGGACACTCCTATCAGTCAAACCATTGCATCATTTACTAGGATTAGCCCTCGGATTAGTTTAGAGCCAATGATCACAATATTAAGCAGTGTTTATCCAATCATACAAAAGGATTCGTTTGGCAGTACTTTCTATATATTTGATAAAATGGTCAGTTTTCAAATCAATTATATCTATTACAAGATATTCAAAATG